TTCTTCTCCTTCTAGTTTACCATGTTCATCCTCTTAGTTGGTTAAATAAACTCTAATGTAAACATTGTTTTAATGAGAAAACAAAAAAGGACGAAAAAACAACTCCTTGCAACAACAAATTGTTGCATGTTTTCCACTGCAACTACCGCCGCTGCTGCTGTTGATTTTCTTTTTACGTGTGACTGCCTGGCAAACCAGAAAAAGGAGCAGCGAAACGAATAAAAAACAAACTTTTGTGTTAATGTAAATTCTTGTTTGTAGTTTTCTTCGTTTTGTTTTCTTTTTGTTTTTTATTTTTCATTTACAGCAATCTTATCTAAGATTACAACAGGAGCGTAACCAAGAAACACGATGATTTCTAGAAGGATTTCAGTGAGAAAAGAGAGAAGGCGAGTACAATAAGGCAGAAGAATTTTACTCAGAATATTTTGAAATGTTATGAAAGCAATAACAGCGCAATAAATATAAGATTTCTTAAAATATATTTTTTGCTGAAATTATTTGGGCCTAATAATGGAAAATGTCTCTAATGGTAATAAGGAGGATTTGAAAATTGAGAGGATACCAAAAAAAAAAGATCAGCAAAGATTTTAGGCGAAAGATTCACAATGAATTAATATCAGTAAGATTTTCGGTTATATATCACGATAGAGAAATAAATAAAAAAATCTTCATTTTTAATTTCAGAAAATGGAATTGACCTATATTGGACTGGAGATCTTAGATCTTAACACACAATTTGAATCAGGTTTAAAATATACTGGACGTTCTTAACGAATAGGAATTTCCTTACCAAAAATTGAGGGGATTAAACATCAGCTAGAACTTTTAGAGAAAGATCAGAAAAAATGCATAATTCTCAAATATATTAAGACAATTTCAACTCTAGAACTTAATATGAAATATGGACTTCCATTCAACATTGAATGTTGACGAATACATTTTTTTAAGGATAGAATAACAAGACTATGCATTGTTGGGGTTTACATATGCATTTTTGTATGCAATTTTGCTGTAAATCTGCTAAGTTTTAGGGAGAGAGATAAGAAGAAAACTCCGAGATTACAAACTATAGGGAAGGAAAAACGATAAAAGGCTGTAGGGGTTAGTAAAACGATTTGGATATCATAAAAGCATTTTATTATTTTTTTATTTGTAGCTTTTGAAACTAACACGAAAAATGGATCTTCAAAATCAAAAATTGGCTTTTATTTTAATGTATTATAATATTAATATTTGTAGGTTTACACTTAACACTGTAACTTTACCACTAATAAAAACACTGTTAAACTAAATTTTAAAATTTGTTTTTTTTTGTAGCTTGTAGTAAAATCAGCAGAATTTTGTGTGGAATATTCTTTGAATACCATGAATTAATATTAGGCCGACTAAAATTCTCCTTTAAATTTTTCTTTAATCAACTTCTCTATAAAGTTTCCAGTCGTGAATCCCTGGTTTACCTTTTTAACAAAAACTTCATACAAATACTCCAAAAAGCCTTAAACTCGTATATAACAACCTGTTTCGGAGTGTCTATAAAGGTTCCCTGCTTCAGATCTTTCCATTTACTGTAGACAATTCATAGTTCAACTTTTCTACGAAACCGACTTCTTCAATTTCTCAACAGATAAAAAGCAATCCGTGGCTCAATTATCTAGAGAATCCCTGGTACTGGAGGTCTACAAAGATACTCTGCTCCAAGTCCTCTAAAAATATTTGTCTTACTTCATCTAGAGTCTAAAGATTCCTATGTCCAGATCGTCCACTTCAGTTCGTTATTAAACACGCTCTGCATGAGCCGACCTATAAATATTATCAGCCTCTGCTCGCCTAAATTTTTCCTGTTTTTGATCATCTACAAAAATGCATGCTTATGTTTTGATAAAATACTCTTTACTTCATCACTTCGCCCATATATATATTTCCGAACATCAGCTAATTATTATGACATCCGGACGTTAGTTCTTCTGTAAAAACTTGAGGATTTTATGTAAGTCTATAAAGGCTTTTGTGCTTCAGATTATCCATAAAAGTGCCCTGTGCTTCAGTTCGTCTGGAAAGTCTCTTCATCTTCAACTTGTCTATAAAGGCTTCCTGTGCTTCAGTTCGCCTAAAATTTATTTCCGGAGCTTCAGCTAGGCTATAAACACTAACTTAAGCCGCCCTTCCTACTCTCGTCTGAAAAAACCCTGTTCCAGCCCCTCTGTAAATAATCTCTGAACTTATATTCGTAAGTAATAGCTTCCTGGCTTTAGTACTTCTAAAAATATTCCCTAGGCTACAGTTGAGCTATAAAAATTAAATTAAATTCGGCTTAAGGATATTTTTAGATTGTCAGCAAAACTCATTTTAGTTCTCCAAAAAATAAAAAAAGCTTCCACTTTTGGCTGCCCTATAAAACTCTCTTCTCGTTGTCTTTAAGGAATAATTGTAGGACTTTCTTTTTCTATCAAGGTTATCGATCTTCGGCTATAAAAATTAGTTTTGGGTCATATATAAAGCACTCTAGTCAAATGTCCTTCGGAAATCCGGTAGATTTGATTTCTGGGTCTATATAAATACTTCCAGATTCGCCTCTTCTAGTCGTATACAAAGACTCCATTCAGTTTTTCAATAATTATAGGACTCCTCTCAAATTGTCTATTAATTCAAAGAACATCAACCTTTTAAATTAACATCAACATGTCAATACTCTCCTAGCTACATTCTAAAACAATTTTATTCCAAAATAGTAATTCAATAATAAAATATTTATGTTTTAAAATTAAATTTAAGACTTTAAAGGAATCTCTGGGCTTCTGGTTGACCCTCTTCTGAAAATATTCCTTACAAGCAATATATGTTCAAGAAAAAAAGTGTTTTTTTCTAATATCAGAGTCCAATTTTTTATTATAAATTTGTAGAGCAATAAAAATTAAGAACATATATTACAAATATTAAATATAATATTCTTCATAAAATCAGAGGCAACTGTACCCTCATTTCCCTTCCTCTCTCATCCACACAACATAATTTCTTAAAAATAATATTTTTTTTGAAAATAAAATTTTTGCCATTACAGTGTTGTGTCCTTTAATTTTTCACAGTACATCATCTAAGATCATTTGTGAAGGGCGCCAGAATAAGTAACATCTGCTCATGAAACACCCACCCAAGCTGTAGTTACATCTCGTAATTTTTTCTTTTTCTTCTTCTTTTTGAAAAGAGGAAAAGAACCAAATCCAAGGTCACAAACTACTTAAATTTTATTGTTGTACTCGATTTTAAGGAATTTTCCGTATTAAATACAAAAACATTACTAAAGTAATGGGAAAGAATAGGAAACATGACAACAAAAACAAAACACAAAAGATGCACGTGTTGGTAATCTTGTACAGACAGAATTTTCCAAAATACTCTCTCTCTCTACTTAGAAAATTGTTTCTTTTCATTTAACTAGCAAAGAAATACCTTTACTATAAACACTCACCAAGCAACAACAATGCTAATATTGCTGTTTTAATTTTACTCAAACATACACACACTCACACCACAGATCATCAGAATTATCTTTGCTCAATTTCCGTTACAAACGATGAGAGGCTTAAATGTGTATGTATATCTTGCTCTTTCACACACCAGAATGACTGAATGCCTAATGCCGGTAAATGAGTGTGCGTTAGTGGCTTACTAAAACCGTACGGTATTTGTGAAGAGAGGGAGAGATAACTGGAGAGAAACAATGTTGTTATGAATAGAGAAATGAAGCTAAAGAGAGGGTGTATGAGTTTGGTAGATATTACAACTGTAACAGGAAATCATTGTTGTTGTTTTCGTAATGCATTAAAGTGGTGTTGGTGGTGTAATGGAAATACATACATAAATAAAAAGTGAGGAAAATAGAGAAAGAGACAGAATAATGGAAAACTACAGTAGATTAGGGAATTCTATTGTTTATTTGTCAAGAATGGTAAAACTATTCAAGGTCATTTTTGCAAAACAATTTTTTCAAATGTCTCTCTGCAAACTAACAAAAATAGAGAGGCAGAGGGAACTACAAAGGGAGAGCATTGCTATTGTTTTTAGCTAAGATAATCAAGGTCATTTCTGTTTTTTTCTCTTTGAAAAAATAGGTCATCCATTTACGAGAGAATTGAATAAAAAAACATAACTACCGCCCTGCATTAAATGCTGTTGCATAGCTTGAAATGCCACACACAAATGCAAAATAGTAGCAAAGCAAAAAGTTTTCAAAAAAAACTATTTTGAAATTTTATTAATGTTTTCTTCTTGTTTATTTTCTTCGTTGATTTTCTGTGGGAATTTGTAATTAAAAAACGAAAACAAAAAATAAAGCGTATAACAGCGCAAATATTATCATTTGGCAAAAGAAATCTGAAGCAAAAAAATTGTCGTACGTAAATGCGGACCAAAATTACATTTTCAAATGGAGAAGTAGATAATATTTAACAATTTTTGCAAGAGTAGCAAAAAATACAACACCAAATCAAATATGGAAGGTATGTGAAAAAAAAACAAAAACAAACAAGGAATTTTAATAAAATATTATGCTGAAAGAAAAATAGATTTCAAAAGGAAGCGAAAAGGACATATTACTAGTTGGCTTGTTTGTCTTGTGAGGTTATGTATTTTCACCTTAACCTCTATCCTCGCAGTAATTTTTGTTATTTTATGGTCTCTTTATTGATTACCTATCAAGTTCAACTTAAAATAGTTGTATCCTCAGCCTTGCAATATTAGAAATGCGTGCCATACAGTGATTGATTCCTGTTATATTAGTGCGTGATATGCCATTCAAATATTTTTCCTAAGTTATGTTTAGGTGAACGAAAGGGAAAAAATATAACAGACCAATTAAACAACCATTAGCTTCCTCAATATTGAAAAACCATTTAGGTTTAGGTCATGGTAGCAGTTATGCATAACCTTCGATTTAGTTATTTGCGTAAAGTTTTTGGTTACACATTCGCGATACGGAGTGAAAGTGAATTCGAAACAAAATGTTTCTTAAGAAATTATCGCAAGATGAACGAATTAAGCTAAGAGCTCAACGCAAGGAAAGTCAGCTGATAAGGAATCGGGCGAAGCAGAGAGGTAGGAAGGAAGACAGAAAATTTCAAAAAGAATTATCTGCAGCTCGAGGATTTCATGCTACAGAGAATTTGTTCTGCTATAGAAAAAAATTCCTCAGGTCCCTGAGGCCACTTTTTTCTATAGAAAAAAAATTCCTCAGGTCCCAGAGGGAACTTTTTCCGTAGAAAAAAACCCTCAGGTCCATGAGGTGTCTTTTCTCTATAGAAAAAATTCGTCAGGTCCCTGAGGGTGATTTTTTCATTAAAAAAAGTCCTCAGGTCCCTGAGAGTGACTTTTTTCATTTTCAGGTGATTAAAAAAATTCCTCAGGTCCCTGAGAACTGCTTTTTTCTATAGAAAAAAATCCTAAGGTCCCTGAGAACTTATTTTTTTAATAGAAAAAAAATCCTCAGGTCCCAGAGGGAACTTTTTCCGTAGAAAAAAACCCTCAGGTCCATGAGGTGTCTTTTCTCTATAGAAAAAATTCGTCAGGTCCCTGAGGATGATTTTTTCATTAAAAAAGTCCTCAGGTCCCTGAGAGTGAATTTTTTCATTAAAAAAAGTCCTCAGGTGACTTTTTTCTATAGAAAAAAATTCCTCAGGTCCCTGAGGGTGACTTTTTTCTATAGAAAAAATTCCTCAGTTCAATAGAAAAAATTCCTCAGGTCCCTGAGGGTGACTTTTTTTAATAGAAAAAAAATCCTCAGGTCCCTGAGGATGACTTTTTTATAGAAAAATAATCCTCAGGTCCTGAGGATGACCTTTTATAGAAAAAAAAAATTCTCAGGTCCCTGAGGATGACTTTTTCTATAGAAAAAAAATTCCTCAGGTCCCTGGGGATGACTTTTTATAGGAAAAAAATCCTTAGGTCCCTGAGGATGACTTTTTCTATAGAAAAAATTACTCAGGTCCCTGAGGATTACTTTTCTATAGAAAAAAATTCCTCAGGTCCCTGAGATCACTTTTTTCTATAGAAAAAAATTTCTCTGGTCCCTTAGGCAATTTTTTTATTAGAAAAAAATCCTGTGGTCACTGAGGGCACTTTTTCTACAGAAAACAAAAATTCCTTTGGGCCATGAGGTGTTTTTTTTCTATAAAAAAAATTCTTAGGCCCCTGAGGTGTCTTTTTCCCTAGAAAGCGTCATGCCTCTGAGGTGTATTTTTTCTATAGAAAAAATTCCTCAGACCCCTCAGGTGTCTTTTCTATAACTTTTTTCCAAATTGACAAATTTGTATCTGCATATTTTTGTCCACTGGTTTTTTATGTAGGATTAAAATAGTCAGAATTATTCCAATTGGAACCATTTCTATAAGAATAACCAATCTGTTACCATGTGGTTTGTGCCTACACTAAGTTGTCACTAGCTAAGACTGTGTTGCCAGTAATAAGGATTCAGAATCTCCTTTTCATATGCCCCTTTCCATCTCCAGGATTCCTTTATGTTGTCAATCCACCTGAAATTCCCCGTGTCGCATTTGGTTCCAGTTTGGATCGTGTAACTCTACCACTAAGAGGACCATGTTTAACATCATTTATGCGCCAGCATCAAGGGGATGTTTTCTTAGGTCCTGGCCCAGCAACTCGAGTGGATGAAAGGGATTTTTTGGAAATAAAGGTAGCCCAACATATTTAAAAAAATTCTATAATTAAAGGAAAAATTTCCTATAGTATCCTTCAAAATTGGGTTACTCGGCATTTGCCAGTAAGGCACCACGTCTATTGGGTCCATCAAATGCCAATATGCCTTGTGTGGGTAGTTATGATGTGGAGCCTAGGAAACGCTTGAGAGAAGCCACCAAACCTTTTAATACGGGAGCGCCGAGGAAGGATAAGGAAAAGTTCTTAACACCAGCGTGAGTTACGAACATTTACGATTTTATTTTCTACATTATTTATTTTCAACTGAATGAGAATTATTGTCATGTTTTTACTATCAATGAAACATTTATAATCCAGATTCATTGTTTCAGCCCCTCAGCCTATCCCCATCACGTGGAACGTCCCAAATTGCGAATAACCTCAGCATTTGGTAGTCGACGAAAAATCCACCCAGCCATTAGGGTCATCTGCAGCCCCCTAAATGTTGCCAAATGTCAAAAATGTGAACAGATACCCCAAGGAGATTATTGGCATGATTTCAATAGAGAATTGGATCTTTGTCGCCCCTGCATGCATAAAATTGAAAATGATTTGAAGAAATGTTCCTCCACAGAGTTGCAACGTCAAAGGCTGCGTCGTGAATTTGCCGATTATCAGAGAGTGCGATATTGTGATTTTTATCATGATCATGGCGGGACAATGGCAGCGGTACAGACATTACCGCAGCGAATCTGTAAAATGAAAATTGCCAAGGAAAATTATTTGTCATTGTATATGTGAAAGAAAAAATAAAAGTGGAGGGGAAAACAAAGGTAAACAAAGTAAAAATAAAATAATATGAATTTTTTTCTGCAGCAGAAAGGTCCCCTCAGAGAGGTCTGAGGATTTTTTTCTATAAGAAAAAAACTCTTCTTCGACCTGAACAAGACTCCTCATGAACCTGAGGATTTTTTCTATAGAAAAAATAGACATCAGCGTCCAGAGGAATGTTTTTTATAGAATTTTTGTTATAGAAAAAAGATCCCTCAGGGTCCAGAGGATTTTGTTCTATAGAAAAAGAGCCCTCAGGGTTCTGAGGAGTTTTTTTCTATAGAAAAAAGAGCCCTCAGGGTCCAGAGGATTTTTTTCTATAGAAAAAAGAACCCTCAGGGTTCTAGGAATTTTTTTCTATAGGAAAAAGAGCCCTCAAGGTCCTTAGGATTTTTTTCTATTGAAAAAGTACTTCTTAGGGACCTGACGAATTTTTTCTAATGAAGAAAATACTTCTCAGGGACCTAAGGATATCTTTTCTATAGAAAAAAATACTTCTCAGGGACCTGAGGATATTTTCTATAGAAAAAATACTTCTCAGGGACCGGAGGATATTTTTCCTATAGAAAAAAGAGACCTCAGGGACCTGAAAATATTTTCCCTATAAAAAAATAGAGCTCAGGGACCTGAGGATATTTTTTTTTCTATAAAAAAGAGTAATAAGGTCCTGAGGAATTATTTCTATTGAAAAATACCTCTCAGGGTCCTGAGGATCTTTTGTAGGGAAAAAAGAGTGCTCAAGGACCTGAGGAATTTTTTTCTATAGAAGAAAGCGTCCGCGAAAAAATTGTCCTCATTGAGACCTGAGGATTTTTTTTGCAAAAAAAGTCTTTAGAGATCTAAGTTCATTTTGAAAATTTAATGAACGCGTGTCTGTGTTTGAAATTCACACATCTACATTGAGGTCTAACCGAGCTACAGCATGTTCACGAATTGAATTTAGGCCATAACAAAAATACCAGCTTACAACAAACTGTCGGTAAGTTGGAATGACTAACTCTATACATGGCTGGTATTTACCGCAATCCATTTATCCCGACACAGCCACGCACACACACACATATACACACATCCATGCATACATAAATTGACATGTATGCACGTGCACACATTTTCAGGATACCATTCAAATTCAGGTTGCCGCGTTCTTCTCTTTTTGGTAAATTAATAGTTATTGTGGTAGCAGGATGATAGTTTTTCTTCCTCCTCTTCTTCTTCTTCTTGGCATTCCTGGCCGAAATGCACTTCCACGTGTAACTGAGGACATGGGCTTGATAGGCATCCAATGGTGTCCTTAACAAATGAGTTTTTGATGCAATTGTGCAGAACACAATAATCGGCAAAAGAAAAGATGGAGGGACTCTTGAAGTATTCATGGCTTGATTAAATTTTATTTTTGGGGAGCTGGAATGGTAAAAAATAACCAGGAACGGTGGATGATTGGTTGCCTCTGAAATGAATTGAGATGCAACAACTTCCTTGTTAAAAAAAAATTCGGCTTTATACCATTTCCAAAAAGCCAAAATGTAAATTGGTTAAAGAGAGGGTGGGGGGTAGACTTTCTTTTGAAGTTAACCATTGGCATTACTGTTGCCCTTGTTGTTGTTGTTGTCATTGTTACTCAGTTACCGTTGGCATTTAACGGAAACGGATGTTGTTCTTAGTTGTTATTTTGTTTGTTGTTCGGTTGTTGTTTTTGTATTTTTTTGTTCTGTTTTCCAGTTTGTTCAGTTATTTCGGCTAACCGCAAAAACGTGCTTACATTCGTTCAAGTGGTCGTTCGTCCTGCGGCCAATGTTGCCTAGGAGGATGTGCTCTAAATTAAAGATACAATTGTGGATCCTTTGGCTTTTCGTTCGGTGTGTATGAATGTGTGTGTATTTGTAGTTGTTATTGTGAAAGGCAATGGTTTATTTCATTAGGCTAAATGCAACGAGGGGGTTTTTGTGGTTCGGCATGGTGAAACTGCAAACAAAAAACTCTTTTTCCAGGGTCGAATCGGCGTACAGTAGTCGGCAAAAATGTTATAATTAAGTGGGGGCTATTTAAAAAAATTTGCCCGACCTCAGTTTAGTTTTTTAGGCAAAGAAAAAAAAATCCCAGGTCCCTGAAGATGACTTTTTCTCAGGTTCCGTGAAGACACTTTCTATAGAAAAAAATTCCTCAGGCCCCCGAGGATGACTTTTTTCTATAGAAAAAAATTCCTCAGGCCCCCGAGGATGACTTTTTTCTATAGAAAAAAATTCCTAAGGTCCCTGGGGATGACTTTTTTCTATAGAAAAAAATTCCTCAGGTCCCTAAGGATGACTTTTTTCTATAGAAAAAATTCCTCAGGTCCCTGAGGATGACTTTTTTCTATAGAAAAAAATTTATCAGGTCCCGAGTATGACTTTTTTCTATAGAAAAAAATTCCTCAGGTCCCTGAGGATGACTTTTTTCTATAGAAAAAAATTCCTCAGGAAAAATTCCTCCCTGAGGATGACTTTTTTCTATAGAAAAAAATTCCTCAGGTCCCTGAGGATGACTTTTTTCTATAGAAAAAAATTCCTCAGGTCCCTGAGGATGACTTTTTTCTATAGAAAAAAATTCCTCAGGTCCCTGAAGATGACTTTTTTCTATAGAAAAAAAATCCTCAGGTCCCTGAGGATGACTTTTTTCTATAGAAAAAAATTCTTCAGGTCCCCGAGGATGACTTTTTTCTATAGAAAAAAATTTCTCAGGTCCCTGAGGATGACTTTTTTCTATAGAAAAAAATTCCTCAGGTCCCTGAGGATGACTTTTTTCTATAGAAAAAAATTCTTCAGGTCCCAGAGGATGACTTTTTTCTATAGAAAAAAATTCTTCAGGTCCCTGAGGATGACTTTTTTCTATAGAAAAAAAATTCCTCAGGTCCCCGAGGATGACTTTTTTCTATAGAAAAAAAATCCTCAGGTCCCTGAGGATGACTTTTTTCCATAGAAAAAAAATCCTCAGGTCCCTGAGGATGACTTTTTTCTGTAGAAAAAAATTCCTCAGGTCCCTGAGGATGACTTTTTTCTATAGAAAAAAATTCCTCAGGTACCTGAGAAAAAAATTCCTCAGGTCCCTGAAGATGACTTTTTCGATAGAAAAAATGTCCTCAGGTCCCTAATCACACTTTTTTCTATAGAAAAAAAATCCTCTGATCCCTGAGGACACTTTTTTCTATAGAAAAAAATTCACAGGGCCCTAAGGACACTTTTTCCATAGAAAAAAATCCTCAGGTCACTGAGAACCCTATAGAAAAAAATCTTCTAATCCTGAGGACACTTTTTTCTATAGAAAAAAATTCTCAGGGCCCTAAGGACACTTTTTCCATAGAAAAAAAATTCCTCAGGTCACTGAGAACCCTTTTCCTATAGAAAAAAAATTCTTCAGGTTCCTGGGGATGACTTTTTTCTATAGAAAAAAATCCTCATGTCACTGAGGATGGCTTTTTTCTGTAGAAAAAAATCCTCATGTCCCTGAGGATGACTTTTTTCTATAGAATAAAATCCCATAGAAAAAAGACTGAGACCACTGTTATCAATAGAAAAAAATTCCCCAGGTCCCTGAGGATGACTTTTTTCTATAGAAAAAAATTCCTCAGGTCTCTGAGGACAAGACTTTTTTCTATAGAAAAAAAATTCGTTAGGTCCCTTGGGACCTAACCTCAGGTCACTGAGTAGACTTTTTTCTATAAGAACCTCTTTATCTCATAGCCTCCACAATAACTTTGTCCTAGTATCATATTTAGTTTTATGTGAGTTCTCGTCATGTTTCTGTTGTTGTTTACATCAAACAGTATATTGAAGGCAAACCTTAAAACACATCCTGCCTAACACACACACCCATACACACACACTTACTCGGCCTTACACATAAACCATGGGACACATCATGTAAAAGTTACAAAAATTGTTATGCTTAAAACCGGAAATACGTATTCAAGTGAGC